CCAAATTAGAGAAAGGTCAAGAACTGTGAAATAATGACCAATTGTTTACCTAATCTGTATTTGTGGAAGTCAGAAAGTTCGGTGAAAATATTTAGGGTCAGCTACTTAAAAGTAGTATGGACAGGCAGATTGCTTGTTATGCACCTTTAAATTGTATGGATAAGGAAAAAAAACTGTAGATTGTTCCTGGGGGAAGAAGTTGAAACATGCATGTTGTGTTTGCTTTTCCTTATTTTGGAGTCAGTCTTTGTGTTGGTTGGAATTTGAACTGGCACTTACAGGGCTGCCTACTTGCTCATTGTGGTTCCTCTCCCTTGGACTTAATGTGAACAAGCAGATGTCTTCGTTATTTTGAGAAGGATTGAACTGGACATGCCAACATTTTAGGCAGATTGTGGAATCATTAAGAGAAAAGGCATACAGCCGCTATTCAGAAGACTTGCGTCATTGAGAATATCTTTTCAATGGCCTGGTTTTATGTGCTGTTGAATATTCTGTGTTAGGAATTAAATCATGGCTTTGTCATATAAATCCCAAGGAAGAGGCAGCCTTTAGCTGCACAGCTCCAGGAGCGGAAGAGGCATTATGTCATTCCCCTGTCACAGTGTGATCTTTGTATTCCCTTCGTCCTTCGAGAGAAAGTAGTCAGCGCTAGCCTGTAACCTGCTTTCTTGGTGGGGAAATAGAGTAAATTGAGGGGACAGAGCAGAAACCCCACCACTTATGGAAACGTATTGAACCCACAGAGACCACTGCCTGCTGCTATGTAGACTGTGAGTAGCTTGTTCAAAGGAGCAGGAAGCTTGTTTCTCTCTAACCAGGAAAGAATAAGCTTCAAGAATAGAAACAAGACAGAGCCTGTGCCATGGTATGTCTGTGTAGAGGTGTGAAAGCTAACTGTAGCAAAAAACTTGCTTGAAAAAATGACTGCGAGTGCAATTCAAACAGCTACATCAAACCCATCTACAAGAGACTTAAAAGCAGCAAGCTTCAATTCCAGTTTTTTTCCATTATTTTCTGGTTTCATCTAGCTTTCATTTTTTTAATCTTTGTTAATTGAAATGTAGTTTGATATTTATATATTTTTGTATTGTAGTAATCCAGAATAGACTCCAGATTGCTTCGTATCATGAAATTGCTCTGAAATCACAGCATGGAAGCCATGCATGTGTGTTTTCTTCAAAATATGTTTTTAAAAAAAATCATGCTGTGGTCGCTCAAAATTTTAGCCAGTTTTATATAATACCTTGTATATAAATATTGCACAGCTTAGAATTGTCTTTTTTAAAAAACATCCAGCATTCATAAATTAGCTTTTCATAAAATGGCTTTTAAGTTTTGGCTTGCTTTTCTAAAGAAAAGCAAACTTCAACAGCGCCTGCTTTGAATTAGACAATTTTATGTCAGAGTGGCATGTTTTTGGCAAATTCATTAAGAATTTCACTTAAAAAATAAAGATCTTTTAAAATCCTTCCAATTAAGAACACTGTATGCCTGACTCCTTTACTTCTTTGCAGCCTAAACTTACAATGGCAAAATGCAGACGAAATGTGGAGAATTTCTTGGAAGCTTGCAGAAGGATTGGAGTGCCTCAGGTACGTATTTCTACTATCCTGATACAATGTTTCAGGTGCAGTTTTGTATCATGCTTCAGAAAATAGCACCTTCTTTGAAAGATAGAATGAAAACAAAATGATTAAAAGTTTAGAAGGTTCAGGTATAAGCTATGTCTTGCAGTATAGATCAGACTGATCTTGCATTGTCTTCCAGAGCAGAATGAAGTCAGATACAGTTTGTCAGAGGTCTGATTCACTTATTGCTGTGCCTCAAATTCGTAATAGCTGATGCAGTTCAAGTCTGCCTTTAGAACTGCAAGCTATTTTTATAAAAACAATTACATTTTCTGAAGATTAGATATTTGACAGCTTAAAAGTGGGATAAAATTTGGATGATGTTTTGCATGTGTTATTTTTATTCCAAAGCTTTTCATGTTCCTTCAGAATAGGTCTCTTACATGAACATCTGTGCTTTCTTACCAACAAATTGCAGTTTTCTTGGCCTTTCTCTGGTGGTAGCTATCTTTGCATAGATCCTAATTCTTTTGTTATGTACCAGTGGTAGAAGTCTCTTCTGATCTTCCTTGTCCCCTTCTGAAACTTGGAAGATCTAGGAGGTGGGAACATATAAAGTAGTCCATCTGAGTCCAGTTATCCTGTGTTATGCTATTCTTTCCTTTCCACTTTGTCTTATTCAGCAGCTGTCTCATTACAAATAGTTTTGATATGTCATGTTTTTATTAGTTTTTCTTCTAGTGCATTAATTGTTTTGGTTTCTTATACTGCTAAGCATTAGTGTTTCTGTTGTAGGTGCTGTTTTCTTTCTTTTGTGTTGTGAAAGGAAAAGTAGACTCAGTGACTCATTTCCCAGCTATTTCTAAAAGCAATGTTCTTGAGTCAGTCATACAGTATTTTCTGGTGTTTTCAGATAGCTTCACTTGCAGGCATTTGAGCCATTGGGATTTTAGGATAGCGTATTTATTGAACTGCCTGGCAATTTCACGTGACTCAGTGGTGAATCGCGTTGGAATGTGATAAGTGATAGTTAGTACTTTGAGATCCTGCACTATTTTGGTCCCCTAAGAAACTTCAGACTTTTACTCCCAGCAGTACTGCAAAATAGAAATTCATCTGGGGCAAAATTGTTCAATTCCATCCCAGCTTCCCTATTTATAGCTCTCTCAAATACGAAGATGTAATTTTGGGGGATTGCAGTACAGAGCAGATCACTGAAATGACCCACATTCAAAAACAAACAAAGAAGCCACTCAAGAAAATGTCCCTTATAGACCCAGTCTGCCACACCTACTGTCTAAGACCCTTCTGGTTTTTTCATATTTCTTTCTTTAATGTGAAGGAGTTCAAGGAGAGTGTCTCTGGGGAAACTTACTGAAATACCCCCACCTGAACTCTAAAGTTGCTCTCACATGTCTACATTACATATCTACTGAGATGGGAACGTAAGATATCTGCGTTCAAGAATGGCGTGGAAGTCTAGTATATTTTTCTTGAAAAGATGCCTGCAGGTATTCCCTTTCATTTAAATTCTAATTACAAAAATAAAAGGCTTTCCGAAAGTATGGATCTGTGTGGAAATACTTACCTTCTAAGAGGAAGGCTACTTTTACAAAATGCTAATTACAGGCACCGCAGTGGGGCAGCTATTTCTATAGGACTTTGCTAGTTAAAGCCCTTGTATCAAAAGAAACCGACAGTTGAACAGGTTGATATGCGCATCTAGATTTCACTGATTTACAGCAGTTACGTGTGTGAAAGGGAGGGAGAACATACACAGTGGGAGTAATTACAGAACACTTAAACTCTAATTGGTAATAGATATTTCTGCAGGAGACTGCATGCAAGCATCAGTTACACATAAATAATCCCTTGTCCTACTGTTTTCATTAACTAAGATACATGTGGAGACTTAGCTTTGGTGAGTACTCAGTGCCAACAGCATCTGAGGAACCTGTAGCCTCTTCATTTCCTCTGGAGGAAAATGGTTTTCACTAAGGCGTGTGTAAACTGCTATGTTTTTAACAATAAAGAATAGTTACGTGTTTAAGCTGTGTAGGTGACGGGCACTTCACTGAACACTAAATGTTTGCCTTAAATGAGTTCTTTGTAATGGAAGTCTTGTAGATTCCTTTGTGAGAATTAACCAGCTGTGATGTGCTTCTCAAACATGTAGGTTATATCTGAGATGTCTGATAACTGACTGCTTCATGGATGTTGCTATGGCTAACTGACTGACGTTTTTTTTCTGTCTGTTTTCCCTTCCTGCTCACACACTCTGGACAGGACAATCTTTGTTCCCCTTCTGACATTCTTCAGCTAAACCTCAGCGTTAAAAGAACAGTTGAGACTCTTCTTTCCCTGGGGACAGATTCAGAAGAATCCAGTCTTGTCTCCCTTTCCATTCAGCTCTGGGGCTTTGTCGTGTTTTACTGTACCCTAATGCTAACGCTCTGTATGTTCTATCGCTGGCTCTTTTTTCTCTAGCTGAAGGATAGTGTTGCTGCTTCCTCCTTCCATCACTCCAGTGCTTGGGAAAGGATTTTGCGTATTGTCAAGACTCTGTGTATGAAGTGCTTTCTTTCCCACTGATGGGACAGAGGTGACAAGTACGATGTGTAAACACATTGGTGCACCCACATGACCATCTGTGACGTAATTCACATTTGTATTTGCTGTGTCATATTTAGCAGATATAATGCTTTTAAAAGGGAGGAAGTGCTCTCGGTGGGCTAGAGCGAGGGACTGAGGTTAGGACATGTGGGTGCATGCTATAGTCTGCTGACAAGTGATGTAGTACTGGGAAAACAGCGTTGTCAGTTTGTGCCTCAGTTTCCCCATATGTATAATGGGAATTGCATCCACTTTGGTAAATTGCTTGAGGATTATCTGATGAAAATGTTAAAGAATGTGAAGTATTTTTTTCAATGTCAGTGTTCTTGATGAGATCTCACAGTCTTAGGAGACATGGTCTGGTAAGTTTTTGTCCACAGGACTTTAACTGATTTTTTTTTTTTTCTTGACCCCAGTCCCTTATCCTGCTTCTGAGAGCATTTGATTTCTTGTATTTGTAGACTCTGGTGTATTACTTTGAGTCAGGACTTTTAAAATAACTGTCAGTGAATCCTGAGCTACTTGAGCTTCATAACAGATCAAGCAGGAAATGTTCAGAAAATTGAGCTCTTTAACAGCTTTAAGAGAAAAAAATTTTGGCGCAGAAGGAAAAGTCTTTAAGATTCTATCAGATGCCACAATGTCATAGCATTTTACTGTGCTCTGGATAAAACTTAACAAAAACTTCTTGAGTTGCCATTTGATTGTGGGCACCCCAACCCATGCTTGTTCCATGCTTATTCCCTTCTTCCTCTTACCCTGTCATTTTCGGAAACCTTTGTATCATGTAATTGCAGAAATACAAGCCCCAGCTGCACAATCACTCTTCACTGTTTTACAAAACTCAGGTAGCCTTCTGTAAAGCTTCAAAGCTTTTCCCTCCCCAGGAAAAGCATCCTGGTGCTTTAATGCTTTAATGTCTCAGGGACACCTCAGAACTTCAGGGCACTCCCCATGTGATGTGCAGAAGACCATGTTTCCTCAGAGTGTAGATTGATTCAGGGAACTCTGCTCAGAGACCAGTGACAGGTAAGTGTTAAGTAAAATGGCTGTTCCAAATGTGTTTTCAATAAACCTCTGTTGTTTCTGAAAATACAGTAAATGGCATGTAAGCCCAGTTTTAAGTGGTGTTAGCATTCCGACATTAACCTGGCAACAACTCTGAAGCACAGTTTAAGATACACAGGAGTTTAGTTGCAAATGTGGTCGCTACCAGTAAAAATGTGTTATGTGTACATGGATCTCACAAGCTCTTGTAACATAAACTGAGTACTTAACAAAGGAGCAAGTAGAGGAGCAAGAAAGAGGAGCCCTCTTTTCAAATCACACAAAGTGTCCTGTCCAGGCAAAACATTGTTGAGGAAAGAGCGGACCTTTGACAGGAGGAGATTGTTTTATTTTTAAATAAGCTATTTTTGCACTGCTTACTGGTATGAACTAAAATGAACTCAGTTCCCATATTTCTTAACTTCTTCTAATGAACACTGTGATAAAAACTGCAAGGGGTTTTACACTAACAGTGCCTTCCAGTTTTTAAATTTTGTTTGTTGTGACTGACTGTGGTACGGAGTCATTCCAAAGCTTTCCTCCTTATCTGTTTGCATACAGCTGAGAAAAGATAAGGCATATTTGCTCAAGTTTACAAGTATTTTCTCAAAAAGCACACTTTTTTCAAAATAACATAAATTTGCTGGAAGAAAAATGTATTTCAGCCTGATCATATGGCTTACTGCGAGAATTTCAATCTGGGTTCATTTGTTTTCCCTCCACTCTGAGCTTTGCAAGAGGAGTGTTGGCTGCCACTGCTTATACTGAGGGGTTTCTTTAACATCAAAAATCAGTAAAGATTTAAAGAATAGGGAAATGCAGGTTGCTGTGGAAATAACATGTGAACAATAATCTCTGTAGCTCTATAGGAAGGACACGCTTTGGTTATTTTCTACAAATACAGAGAACTGTTGGACATGTATCCTGACTGTTGCGGAGTGAGGATGACCCGGAAGTGCCAAGAACTTTATGTAGGATGAGGCTTTAAATACACCTTAGAGTGAGAATAGCACAATTATTAATAAACACTTTGAAACCTCTTTTTGCATTTTGCGTATTACTCTTATTCCTTAGAACGATTTTGGAGGTAACCTGCTTAAGTGGGTGTACTTCTGGAAGACAAATAAGCGGTAGGGACTCATTCTCCGCCTTCAAGCAGGTCTTTCATCACGTTTGATAGCTAAACAGGCTTGCTATGTGAGGACTCCCTCATAAAGGCAGTTGTGTTTTGGAAAGGAAGCCACACTTCCTTTCCTACTCTGGGTTGTACCAGATTCATCATGTTGAAGCAAAGCTTTCCCCCCTCCTTAAGTTCATCTACTTTTCGTTTCATAAACTACTGCCGTTTCAATGTGGGCAGAGATAGAGTACAATTTGCTATTCCCTGCTTCTCTGACAATCCTTTTCTCAAGTTCTTATTGGTACTGTTTTCTAATAAACAAACTCAAGGATTAGCCCAAGGCCACCTTCTTTGAGTAGTCAAGTTCATGGTTCTTTAGTCACAAGCAGAAATTTCATATCATACCTCTGTGTGTGTGTGTGCGCGCTAGCTGTCCATAACATTTCATATTTCAGTCACCTTTTGCTTAATTTTTTTTCTTTTCAGTTGAGTGTTTTTTTCATCCATTATGTTTTTGTCTTTGTTTTGTTCCCCATTCAGGAGCAATTATGTTTGCCTCTACATATTTTAGAAGAGAAGGGTTTGACACAGGTAGCTGTGACTGTCCAGGCGCTCCTGGAGCTGGCACCCCCAAAGCAGCAGCAACTTCACCACTTGTCTGCTGTGTAAAGACCTCCGGGACCTTTTGGGTTACCTTGGCTAAGCAGAAGGACATGAAGACTTTACTGCCCATGCAGTGCATCCAAACACACAGAGCTCTGTTCTAAGGAAATGAGTTTCCGTGATTCCTAGCAGGAAAATTCATTTCTCCATTTTTTTTGGAGATGACAACAGTTTCCAATAACATTTTTACTACCGATATTTTCGCCCCTTATTTAAAAAAATGAGAGTTCATTCAGCGGAGGGCAGGGAATTCCAGTGGCTGGCTGTTGGAGCCAGCTGTAGAAACTGACCTTGTAGACTGGAGACATGGGGGTAGAGTTTGGAAAGCGATTCCTAGGGGAATTCATTTGTTAAAAAAAAAAAAAAAAAGGTGTTGCTACAGTGGGCACATGGGGAATGAAATTTCTTTCCTTCCCTGCAGGGTTCAAAGAAAGGTAATTTCTTTGCCTCCAGAGAACAACAGCTATTTCTATTATATATTTTAAAAATTGCAACACAATCTTAACTTGCAGTGTTTGATAACAGGGTCGAACCTCATGCAGCCTTAACATGTTAGCATGTCCTCATTACTTAAAATTTGAAGGAAAAAAAAAATTAATTTTTTCAAGGGAAAAAATACTGCATTTGTCTGATGTAGGGATGCATTTGGTTAGTCAGTGGTTTTGTCAAACAATGACTAGATGTTGTCAAGAATTGTATGTATTTTCACTGCAGTGCGAAGAATTACATCCTGCCATGCTAATCATTAGAAACCCATTATCAAATAATACGTTTGTTAGGGGCTGAAGCATCCCATGCAGACATGCCAGCGCTGGTGAATGTCTCAGCCGCTGAGAAATTTATCACTGTAAGAACAGAATTACTGAATTTCCACAGGTGGGCTGCATATTGTCAAAGCAGCAATCTGTTGCAAAAGGTAGCTTCTATTTGTGGGTTTGACAAGGCTTTAAATAAAGCCTTTTATCATTGAGAGTTTATGTAGACACATGCACTGGTTTTACAGAACTACCATTACTTACTTCCTCTTTCCTTAATGTATAAATGAAAATTCAATGTACAGGAATGGGAGCGGCAGCCGACAAGTTTTGCGTTTTGCTGGAAAGTTGATCTGCAAAGCAAAGGCTAGTTCTGTGTGCTCCGGTCCTAGTGACAAGGCTAAGCCCAGTACCAGATCAGTTACAATAATTTTTTTTTTTTTTCCCAAAAAAGACCTTGCAAAATCCAGTTCTCCACTCATGCAGTTCCTTTGTTAGGTTTTGGCCAATTTAAAGCGTCACAGAACGTTATGCTACTACTACATGGTGCCTGGGGTCTGAAACTAACTTCAGGCATTGGAGGTACTCTATCTGGGGATATATTTGAAGCAGAATACACCAAGAGGATTTCATGGGGATAAAGGAAGAAGAAATGGGAACAGGCTAGCTAAAAGTCATTTTTGCGGAAGTAAACCTGCTGTGGGAACACTGGCACAGACTGGTCTTAGCTGGATTTTTTCCCCTTTTGATTTGCAGTTTTGTTTCCGCTCTGTTTTGCTTCATGTATTTCTTTCAAGGTCCATTGTGGTGAGTGTTGAATCCGTTATTTCACATAATTATTCCCGTTGCTTCTTGTTGGCATTGGTTGATGACATTGCAAGTGGAGAACAACACCTGAAGGGCATTTGAAACTGCACAGCTGAAAAGAGAAACCTTTCATACTGGGTAAGCCTGTTGCCCTGAGGCCTGCAAGAAATAAAAATGCCAATAACTTGCAATACACATAGGAAGAGAGCAGCTCTATACGTACACACTTTCCTCCTTAAGTAGGTCTTGTGTTTCACTTAATTTTGCTTGCAAGGAGCATTGGTAATTCTTAAAGGATTACGTAAAAGTGTCTGAAGTCTCTGCTGTAGTTTGTTGAGTGGAATATTCTGCCACTCTCAAGCAAACAGTACAGACCACAAATGTTTCTTGTATGTTTGTCTCTGCACATAATTTGAAAGAAGGGGGCACTGACTTCATCTTAGTCTCCCAACATTAGGTCACTTGTATTGTTACAGGGCACATGGCTTTTTAATAGCACACCCTTCATGGAGAATTTAAATATTCCCATTTTAAGAAAACCATTCCCTTCATGGAATTGTGAGGGTGTGGTGTTTGCTCCAGTCCAGCTTCCAGCACTTAGGGAAAATAAACCTTAACAGTATGCAGGTTGGTGGAAGTTTGACATTTCATTAATACTAGTTTTTAGGAATTAATGGGGTGGGGGCTTGAGTCTGAACTGCAAGGAATGGCCGTTTCCTGTGGTGCCTGGTTAACAGAGCTACTCCTTTCTACGAGCCATGCGCATACACGGCGGCTGCGTTCGTGTAAAGAGCCATGGCTGCGTGGCCGGGCAGGTGGTGTGTCCCCAGGATCGCTTACTTTGTTCTAAGCAACGGTTTGCTCTGGCAGCTTCAATGTACGTGATCGTGTTTGACATTTATAATCCTGTGTTCTCATACTGGCAAACACTACATCTTGACCAGATGTTTAGGACAAAAATCCAAACCTAAAGTTTCATCATATGGTTTATTTAATGTGTTATACCAAAACCAACTTCAGTTCTCTTTCGCAGAATGGGTTGGGATTTTTCGGTGTATTTATGTGCAATTTTTGTTGTATCCCTTGAAAAGAATATTTTAAAGAAAACTCGTATAAAATTCTATTTTGTGTGTTAAAGCAAAGAGGCAATTGTCTTTCGTCTCTGGGGCATTTTTGTTGGAGGATGTGGGAGGAATCCATCTGAGTGTTCGGGCTTGCTGGTGTTTATACACCGACTCCGTTGTGTCACCGTCCTTCCTCAAACCGTGTCGAGCACCGAGCGGCGTTTGAGGCTCAGCAGGGTTACACCCTCGAGGTCGAGCGGCACAGGCACTCGGGAGTCCCTGATGGCATGGCGACGGTTGGGGCAAAACAGCCGGGGTTTGGGTCTTCCCCCTTGTGAAAGGGGAGGCTTTTGTAAAGGCCCCGACCTTGATGGCCTGCTTAAAATAAATCGGAGACAACTTTTTACAGCGCCGAGCACACCTCTCTCATTCTTGGTAGTAACACAGTGGCAAGTGGTATTTTTATCCTTTTATGACTATAAATGGTTATTTGAAAAAAACGTTTTAGAAACAGAGGACTTTTAAGGTGAATTTGGACATCTAAAGATTCTTTTGTATAGATATTGTGGTGTTTTACAAAGCAATCTAATTTTGCTATTTCTGAAAACAGTGTAAACGTGTAATTAATAGAGTAAAGGATTTTAAAGCTTCATCCCATGCTGTATGTCTGTAAATACATTCCATAATTTCTAAGTCTGTTACATATAAATGTGTCTGAATATTGTATACTTTATTTTAAATTGCCTGTATTCTGCCAGTAGTGTGAACTTCTAGTACATTGATAATATAAAAGGAAAACATGGGTAATTTGAAATAAAGTTTTAAAACTTACATGAATTACTTCTTCCTGCTGTTTTTTTGTTGCATCAATGAATGTCACATCCTCTGTGTCGGGTGTTTATTCCCCTTCCACATCATCACAGTTGGCAGTCAATAGACCCGGTTTGTTTCTCCAGTTTTCATAGTTAACCAGGATAGAAAAATCCCAGCATTTTTACACACATTCTGCAGCCACATCAGAAGCTTTTTCTTGGGGATATTTTTAATCTTCCCCAGACACTGAGAAGCACCGATTTTGTACAGAATCCTTTGCTCCTCCCTCCCCACTCCCCTTTTTCCCTCCTTGTCGTCCCCCCCCCAGGTCTTCTCAAAGTAAAATGTGCGTTCTGAGTTTGTGGAGTTTGCTGCTGCTGGTGCTCCTTGATGTTCTCATCTTTGCTTGGTTTTATGCTATCTTGGGTTTGATCTGTAAAACTTGCACCCCTGCTTCATGCCCCTGCAGCATCTGAAAGGTTTGGGTTTGTTCTTATCAGCCAAAATGTTTGCTACTCTTTTCGTCCCTCCTCGTAGCTAGTTTTTATTTAAAAAAAAAAAAAAGAGAAAAAAAAAAAAGCAAGGTCTAGAAACTGCCAGAGATCCGCAAACCCTCCCCACTGGGTACACACCGCATACCCCTGTGGTACTGTTTCCTGCTCACCAAGCTGCTCCAGCATCCTTTTTTGACCTCATGATGACTCCATCAGTCACCTGGGACAGCTCTGTTCCCATCTTCCTGAGGGCTGCCCAGCTCTCACCAGGTGTTCACTTCTCCCCCTCTATCTGAAGCCTCGTCCTAACCAGCTTCCCAGTCGCCAGCCAGTTACCTCCTCGGAAACCAGTTTCTCCAAAGGGCTTGTGATTTCTGGTTTTCCCTGCAGAAAATATCATGGATGTGCACTTTGATCCCATCTCTTCATAGCCAGAAAAAATGAGCAGTCCCAATCCTGGCGAAGTTCCTCAAAACTGCCGGGTTTTGGGACGCTGCTCTCCGCTCCCATCACTGGATGCACTCAGCCTATTTACTTGACAGCTGTACAGCCAAGAAAGAGAAATCCGCTGCAGTTTCTATGGAGCAAGGTAAGGTTCGCAGGGAGAGCGGCGCCTCTGGGACAGGCTGGTGTGGCGGAGGAGGCTGGGAGGAGCTGGCTGGATGGCAGCATGACCCCGGTCCCCAGGTAGGAGCACGCTGTTCTCGTAAGCTCGTGGGGGTCCGCTCAGGTTAAAAACCTTTGCCCTCATCACACCACCGCCCAGGGGCCAGGACACAGAGTTGGGACTTGAGATTTCAGCACCCTTCACCTTAACTGGAAACAGTAGAACCCTGTTCTACTGATGCCTTTTTTCTTTTCTTTTCATTGGAATTATATTTTGTTCTCTGCTGAAAAGCAAGCAAAGCTCAGCCAATGCCATGTTTCAGACTTCAGTTGTTTGGTTGTATTACTAATGTGTGCCTAGAGTTTGAGATAGAGATCCACTGCCCCTCTGTTCCATCCTGCTTTTTCCTTAGCTCAAAACCTCTGATGAGTTTTATGATCAAACTTCATTCCTTCCACCCAAACAGGTCACCTGTTAACACCCACGACATACAGAAAATACCAGTCCGAAATGAAATGTACCAAGTCAGCAATGCCTGAAAAAGAAGAGTTAAAATTAGGAACAGAACTCCCGCGGTTGCTCTGTGAGGCGCTTCCCGCAGTGAGGAGCGGTGGTGCAGAGGGGGGTGTAAGCACTGGCCTGGCTCAGCTCCTGCCAGCACCGGCCTGGAGTGATCCCTGCGCTTCCCGCCCACGGGGACCACGGAAAGCGAGTGAATGTGTTCACAGCTTTGCTACCAGTGCTGGAATGGGAACGCCTTCTAGTTTCAAGTAAGGGGCAGTGCTCCAGCGGTCATACCAATACTTCTAACGCAAGTTTGTCTAGAGTGTCTGGAACTTCAGCGCTCCCTTGACAATCAACTCTGCCCGATAGTCGGGCACCAGCCCCTTCTGTCCCGTTCAGAGAGAGTTCCGAGCCAAAGGCGCTCTGCTCGTGATTTCAGTCGTCTCACTTGAACTTTAGAGCTTTTGGCACAGTTCAGCTTGGACAGGAGGACATTTGGATGAGGCCAGCATGGGCTGGTCACAAAGCGCGCAGCAGATTTGGTATGGTTTGAGCTCACTGTTCTGCGTGGGAGTGTCAGAAACCAGCCAGCTCAACCGCAGGGCTAATTTTGCTTTGTCCACAGACCTGCATGTGATTGACAGTCATGTCAGGAGAAAGGGCTCCCCTCTTGGTTAAAAAAGCAGCACACTGCTCCCCAGCAGCTTCGCTCCCTGCCTACTGCCTTGTCTCGCTGCACAGTAAGTGACCAGGGTGGTGGGTCCGGCTGGGACAGACCAGCTCCTGTAGGCAGCACGGCCGGCTGTCTTTTTCCATTGTTCCTTCCCTCGGTCGGAAGGTATTTGGAGCTATTCTGTCTATGCGCTGACATTTTGCAGGGCTGTGGGAATGGAAAGCTGCGTGCTTTGACTGCCCTTGTGTTTACACTGCAAACTGTCAGCAGTTTTCCCCCTGCCGACCTCATGCTGGCACTGACTGCAGGGAGAGAGCGCTGCTTGAGCCCGGGTGTGGGCGACTTGGCCTCTCTGCCTTAGAGCCGCAGCAAACAGCAGAGCTTCAGACCCGGCCAGTGCTCTGGGCTCTGCAGAGGAGGTTCTCAGTGCAGAGCATCCCATGCGGGTGAGTTACTGGTCTGTTAACAGGATTACCTCCCGCCGGCTGTCATGTTTCCATAAAGGACTTTAGGGATTAGAGTGTTTCTCACTGCTTTGATGCAAATCCCCTTTCTGCTGGAGAAACTGTGTCTCTGCTCTACAAGGGCAGCTTCACGTTAACTGTGTCTGTCATGAACTGTGTTCTTCAGAATAGCCCAAGCTCTGTTACATGGTTTATTTTGTTCTGTCAAACAGACAGACCACAGTGCCCTGCCCAGCGACAGCCCTGGCGCACATCTATGGCCATATTCTTTACTTATCGCATCTTTTTCTTTGCTCCAGATTTTTTCTTTTTCCCTTTTTCTTTCTGCTTTGATAGATGTTTCTGCCGACTCTTCCTGAGGGCCTGGTAGGGGCCAAGGTTTCTGCGGACCATTGTACCTCTCCACCAGGCCTGCAGCTGAGAGAGAGAGGGAGACAGGTCTTAGGGGAAATCACTTGCTGGGTACCTGGTACAGCTCAATGGCCAGAGCATCTCTCCTGCCCTCGCCAGCTCCAGGAGGGAAGCCCTGGCCCACGCAGCAGCAGTTGGGCCTGTGCTGGTTCTGCTGAAGGTATCCGCGTCTGGGCTGCGGGCATCTGTTGCTGGTGGCAAGGAGACCGTCAGGGGAGCTGCCCCATGACCCTCCCTGTCTCACCCATGTGGTGGGGCTGGTGTGATGGGCACAGCCCCAAATCATTTGAAGAGAGTGGCTTCTCCCCTTCTGCTCCCTTCTCAAATCAACTAGCTGCTGGCTTTGTGTCTGCCCCAGTAGAAAAGGACAGGCTTGTCCTTTGCTTGTGCCATCCCACAGCAGCCAGCTTTCTTGGGCCATTTTCTACCTGAACAAAGCCTGCGGTGAGAATTACTAACTCCCAACTGCTGATGGAGTAGCACTGCCTCAGCTTCGCACTCCTTTACCTTCAGGATGCTCTTCAGCTCAAGGGCATCCTGTTCTAGTTGTCTTCTTTTAGCCTCCTTTTCCACCCGGTCACTGATGATAGTTTGCTCAAATGTCTGGCACTGCAAGATAGGAGGGGGGTAGCAACAGTCACATGAAAAATACATCCCCTAAACTGCAGGGCCAGCCTTTGAGGCTCACTCTTGCCAGGGCAGGGCTCATCTGGACCCTGGTGCAAGGAGTCTTCTCCTCTGGCTGCCTGCTGGTCTCATCCTTGCTACGCGCTTTTCACAGCCCAGCCGGGGCTGCTCTGGCCCTGGGTCACAGTGCGGGTCCCCACCCTATGCACAAGGGAGCTCTTTGGCATCCCAAGGGTAATTTGTAAGCGTAGACCTTCCTCCCCCACCTCCCTTATTTGATCTTTTCTGAATCCAGATGGCAAATGTTGCTTATTATCGCTGTCAGTTCTAAGGCACCGATGACTGCTGCCAAAGTGAGACCTCTCACAGCCTGGGTGTAATTAACCCTCTGATCCTGTGCTGTAAAATGGCTGTCTGATGGCGTCTCAGGCAACAGATGGTGGTAGGAGGGACCCATACTCCCCCAGGCTAGGCAGCAGATGATGTACAAACACACTTGGGACGCTGAGATGACAGTGCCCAGGGTGAAAAATGAGCCCACAAGCAGGGAAACATCTAACTTAGTCCCATCATCTCAGACCCAGCGACAGTAAGGAATGATTACAAGTTAATTCCTTCTGGCTTTAAAACATCCCTTTTTCTAGGCCGTTCTCTCTGCCCTGTGCTGCCTCCTCTACTGTGCCTGCGTAGCTGTGATCAGAGCCCAGCAGTGAACCAAGAAACCAGTGTGGGGTAGGAATGGTTTTAACCAGAATCTGTTCCCTTGTAACGGAGCGTTGTGCAGCTCTGAATGCGCGTCTGCAGGAGGGGATGAGCTGCCTTTCCCACTCTCAGCCTGTCTTACCCCGATGTTGCTAGAAGGAGCAGATTTGTTCAGACTAAGGCAACAAACTAAGGTGAGGCATACTGATGGGATGGGACAGTGTCTTTGCCCCTCACAAAGGCTGTCAATAGCTCTCTGATTACTTGCTGCTATTTGAAAATAGCTGTAGCGGCAACTTCATCGTCCCTCCTTGATGTCACAGGTGGTGAATACAAGATGACTACTCAGTCCCTGCCTTCCCAGGACCAGTGCTTACAATCACATCCCATACCTCAAGATTATTGTGGGTTTTTTTTCCCATGGTCCTGATTCCTTATCTGAATGAGGGTAGAAAAAAGCCAGGATGCAGTTTTGCATGGCTGAGCACTGAGCTGCTGCTGCTGTCTTACCTCCTTGGTAAGTCTCTGCAGTATTTCCAAGTTGTTTGCCTTTGATGCTTTTAGGGCATCCAGTTCTTCGTCTTTAGCATCTGTGTCATTTTCATACTTGTCCACCCAGTATTCCAGCTTCTCTTCCACCTTCTGCATGGGGATAGAATGGTGCTTAGCATGGTACAAAGAGTGTATGGGGAAAGGTTTGCTACTATGATGTGGCCTGCTGTCAGGATGGTGGTAAGAGTCACGTAAATTTTGCATGGTTAGTGTTTCCTTCTTGTCTTGAAAGGGTCAGACCCCTAGGACTAGTGATCAATTACTGGTGGCCTTCAGACCCCTCGCTGGGGGTTCACTACAGAAGCCGCAGCACTGGACTGGGGATGAAGAGAGACTGGGTTGGGCTTTCAGAGGTGCATGAAGAACGGAGGAACACTGGGGGTTAGTTTTGTGAACAGTCAATCGTGGTGGAGTAAGTGACAACCAGAAGCCATTCTTTGTGTGTATACAGAGGGAGGGAGTTTTATGAAACAGAATTTGTCAGTGAGAAAGTTTTTATCCTCTGCCGGGCTCCCTACCCATTTTCTGGATTAAGATCAGCACAGAAAAGTCCCAAGGGACAGCACTTCACGCTATTTCAGGTTGTGAACTTGGCTTTGTCTCACTCATGAATAGGAGGGCAGGTGTTTCTGAAACAGTCACCCAGATGACTTCCTCCCATTCTCGAGTGACTTCTCCATAGCAACAACCGGGACTGCTTGCATGGAAAAATAATCTGAGGAAAGGCATCAATCTCATTACGGCATCACAGCTGGACACACAAGGGAGATGGAGGGCATGGTCATCCTCTCCTCTGTGGGCCCCTGTAAAGCCACCAGCTGCTGTCTGAGCACAGAGAGGCTTGTACTTTGCCTGCTAGTAGAGGGCAAATAGGCTCCAGCTTGTGCTTGGAAAGTCCCCTCACTGTGAAGCGTTAATCAGACCAAGGCCCTGGGATATAGAGGACACTATTTAATTGCTCACAAGATACAGCACTTTTTTGCACTCAAATTACATTTTTAAAAATTTATTATCTTCTATTATATTTTGTACTGGCAGTGATGTTAGGTAGCCTGCGGTAATACAGGTTTTCTTCTAATCATACTGTTGATGAGATGCTTTCCAGTGTTATTCACTGTAATGGGCACTGCTGTTGATGACAGGAAAGCTCTGAACCTCTGGATCAACAGCACAAGGATGTACATGGTTGGTTGTTGCTGAAAATGGGTACAATAATTGTGAGTCCTCAGATGAAGGTAAGGCAAAGCTGGGCTGGCAGTTTCTGTCATTTCCCCCTTGGTGCCCTCTCAGTGCAACACTTGGGTCTGTGAAACTGTTGCCCTCACTTTGTGCCCTAGCGCTCTTCACTGAGACGCTGGGAGTCCCAGCTACTGCCAAGGAAAGCCTAAATAAAATTCCAATTAGGTGAATACAACCATCTGAGGGAGGAAAAAAATCCGTAACACCTGAATAAACAATGCCAATCATTACATGAACTCTAATTTTAAGGAAAAGTATCCAAATGTAGCAAATCCCAAGTCTGGGAGAGCTGGGTTAATTAAGACTTGAGAATTCTATGATTCAAAGTAGCACGAGGATTCTATGATTCAAAGCAGCAATCATGAACCTGGTAAAGTTGATGGGGCAATAACTGGTTTTCTTTAGGCACTAGGTGATGATACAATGTTCATCAGTTGCTATTTTAAGCATCAGCAGACAATGACACGTACCTTATGGTGTTGCCTGAGGAAATTTTCAATCTCCATGTGGACTCGAATCTCCTCATCAGTTTTGCTCCTCAACTTCTGTGATCAGCACAGGCAGAAAATGTGAGAGACAACGTTAGCGCCTACGTGTGTGCACACACGTGCTGCTGAAAGCCAAGGGGGTGAGCAAGAGTGCAGGAGCTCTCTGTGTAGTCCACAGACATTTTTCCGAGTGACAAAATTGACCGAGGCAGTCTTTGCCCCTGGGCCATCTATGAAAAAGGCACAACTGGATCAGACCTTGATCAGTCAAAAAAAAAAAAAAAAAAATGCTTGCAAAACCAGAACCATTTTCTAGTCCAGTTCACCTTATGGCCACACAAACAGCTCTATCAGCATAATGTGCCGTGGGCAATGCTGGGAACTCGGGCTGCTTCTGTTGCTAAATAGCCTTGTAACTACCCCCTTTGGATGTAGTTATGGGTCTATTTCTCTGAGGATGGTGTTAGTTTAAGCGGTCCCTGCCTCCAGCCACTGTCTCCTGCAGCCATGCCATCCGTGCTGTTGCTATTTGCAGGACTGTACAGAGAAGCAATTGAAGGGAGAAAGATTTCTAACCTGGATGAGTTTCCTGATCCGGTTTAAACAGTTGTGTTGGTGACTGTGATGGAGAACAGAAAGGGCATCTGGGCAGCGAGGGAGGGCTCTTTCCTTACTATCTGGAGATGCCTTCTAGTAGGGGCCGTGGGGAAGGGCTTACCTGAATTTCCTCATCCAGGACATTCTCTGCGTTGCTGCACTTCTTCTTGGTTTGGTGGACCCGGAGGTCTGTGCTTTTCTTCACGTAGCAGCTCTCCATGTTCATTTTGGCCTTCATCTCTTGAAGCTCGTCTTTGAGGTAAGCAATCATATTATCTCGGTTCTAGTGGAGGAGACAGAAGCACAAAAGCAAGCCTGGAGACTGAGGTCAGCTCACTGTTTCTTGATCTCTCTACTCCCTGATAAACTCAGAAGAGACAAGATTATAGGCTTCACACTTTCCCTGAATGTTGCTCCATTTCAAGCTCTACTTCAAAGGGAAGTTTGATTTGTAACCCATGCAGAAGGCATTAAACCCATCAGCAAGGAGTGATTACCTCAGGAGAGGGTGGAGTGATGAACAGACTGGGACAAGAAGCCGGCCTTCTGGTGTCTGCTCCAGGGGTGGATTCAGTCATAGAATCATAGAATCATAGAATCATAGAATCATTATGGTTGGAAGAGACCTCAAAGATCATCAAGTCCAACCGTACACCTGATGCCACCCTGTCAACTAAACCATGTCTTGAAGTGCCACATCTAGACGTTTTTTGAACGTCTCCAGGGACGATGACTCCACCACCTCCCTAGGGAGCCTGTTCCAATGCCTAACGACTCTAACAGTGAAGAAGTTCTTTCTAATGTCCAGCCTGAACCTCCCCTGACACAACTTGAGACCATTTCCTCTTGTCCATGCTTATTATAAGCATGAAAGAAGCCAAATAATTTCAACTGCTTAAAGTTAGGCTTTACTAACCTCTTGGATTAGGGCGTCTCAGTGAGTGAGCATCTGTAAGAGAAGGATAATGCCTTAGCCCCACATAAGCCAAAGTTTGATTTCCTAAAGTATACTCTATTCCTTGGTTTCATTTTTTTCTAGTTGTGCAGCAACTGTATAAACAGAACCTTAGGAACAAGTGAAAATCTAATCTTGTCTTGCTTATATGTTTAAACAGTTCTTTCTTGAAATCTTACCAGGTAGATGGTGCCCACTTGTTATAAAAGCTTACACCAAGGACAAGGAAGAAGTGCAAAGGAGGAGCTCCCAGCCTCTCCCCATGCCTTGTTTCGCAATGGAGCTGAGCTTTCCGGGGGGAACTCTGTCCCCAGGAGCTCCCCCACAGGCAAGACTCCTGAGCCGATGTGCCCCGTTTTTCTGCCTTTTGGAGCGTGCTCAGGAAGCAAAGTGCATCTGCTTGATTTGGGATTGTTGTTTTGTTTACTCCTTATTATTAATTAAAAATTAATTTCTTTGACTAATGGATAAAAGTTCATTAATCTGGGGTTGGAACTTGGAAGAACTGCCTGTAAAATTAAAAACTCTAGACTTTTGTATTAAGAGTTAAAAAGGTCATCAAAGTCTCCTGTGCAATCATGCAAGATCAGTCTTAATGCCTCTGGTTTGGCGCCCGATTGCTCCATTACAGCCTTTCTCTTTGCTTTCCTGCCATGCTATGACGGGTTTGACATTCATCAGCCAAACCTTGCAGCTAAAGATGAAATACCGAAGTGCTGGCATTTAAATGTTTTGAAGCCCACATATCTTGTCTCTGAAGCACCCTCACATTCCTTAGCTCTGTAAACATGGAAAAATGCCACAGGAAGAAGCCAGCTCAATAGAGCTGTGTTTAAAAGCCTCTGCAGCATGACTCATTTAGAAATGGTTTCCTTATAAGAAAAGTTTGGAGCAGTTAAAAGGAAAATCCTTCCCTCTGCACCCCTGGTTGGACATAGCTAGGAAGAGTAAAATACGTTTGTAAGGCTCAGGACAGTTAGGGGCCTGGGCTGATGCTGTTTTGTGGGTTTAAAAGTCGTGTGTTCACATTTTTTTTTAAGGTTTCCAACATCAGATACTATTTTACGGCCATATCATCATATGACTGCAGAGAGCTACAGTACATGACCCTATTTGTGCCCTGTTAAGGCTTCTGGTAATGGCCTTTATTTTTCCTGGTACGAAATTTTCGTGGGCATTGGGAGGGGTTGTGTTCCTGGTCAGTAGACATGGGAGGTGACCGTACCACTTTGTTTTGAGATTGTCTTCCTGTGTCATGGTGGAATCACGTATAAACTGAGGGGCTGGCAGAGAGACTGGGGGGACGCTAATGAAAAACACTGATTTTTTAATATTTCTTTTTTGTGGCACTGAGGCTTAGCAAAGCCAAGGACTGCTGATGTCAGTGTGTTACTGCTATCTGCTAAGGTTCTGCAAACGGGTCAGAAAAGAAGGGTTCAGCCTAGGTTACAAAGTACTCAGATATTAGAGAGGTGGGGCAGAGCATGAACACTTCACCAGGTTATTTTCTTTTTCATTTCGTATTTCAGTAAAGCAGAGGAAAAAGTGCTTTTGATTCCAGCGCCCCAGGCCTCAGCCGGGATGGGGGCCCATCTGCTCTGTTTGTTTTCTTTGTTGTATGGCATGTTTGTGGTTTGGATTTGGTCTGTGGTGTTGTAAACGATCTTTGTTAGAGGTGGGGAGTCTGGGGGCTTGGTTACACAATCCAAAGCAGACGGGAAGTGAAATGCAAAACCCCACTGGTGGTTTACAGCATCGCATTCGCTTGGAGAGGGAAAGTCGGCTGCAGGCTTGTGGGCAGCTACTGCAGCCCAGCTGATGGGTCTGGGGCTGCGGAACTGGGGCACATGTGGATTAGGTTGCAGGTCATAAATGCAGCAGTAAATGCCCACAAGCTGTGGGCACCATCTGTAGAGTATGCTGGTCCCTGAACTTCAGAGACCGGCACTAGGAAAATGAGTTAATATTTATTCATTCTTGTTTATCATAGCAAAGATCCCAGCCAGAGCACGGAGCGCTTTCATAGTTAATGCAGTAAACCTCTGGGCTGCTTATTTGGGATGACTTCAGTGTTGAATCTGCCAAACCAAAGATGCAAAATCATACCTCATGTGTCCAAAACTATCACAAAACTAGCAGAGACCAAGATCAAAACCCAGGAAATAGTTGTCAAGAGCCAGTCTGCTTCACAAGCAGGTAAACAAGCTGATTTTCTCTGGTCTCTCAGCTCGCAGACATCAGCTCAGAGGCCTCTCTGCTGCTGTTACCCGGTGCCAGAGGAGTCTGCCCCACAGATGCTGTTTGGCTGCAAAACCAACTGCGCTTAGCTGGAGATGGTATGTGCACTCCTGTGTTTCCACTGACTTTGATTTATCCCTCTTGCAAGTGCCACCTAGATCTCTCAGCTCTTCCACAGCTATTAGTATTTCCAGTCACTTAAAATACAGCTGGTTACAGAAACAGCAAATAGGAGTGAACAGTTTGAGGAATTCCTCCGGCAGTCGGATAAACCCCCTGCTGCCCGCAGCACACCCAGCACCCGCCATTTCGCAGGGACTTGGAGGGGGCAGGGGATGGGGTGCTGTGGTACGTGCAGGCAGGGAGCGTGCCGGCAGAGAGCCCTGCTGCCTGCCTCCTTGCATCCACACCGACTGCGTACGAGCTCGAGTCTCGCCACTGGCAGCTGCGATATCTCAGCTTGCAAAGCCTGAAGATACGCTTAGATCTACACACCTGCTGCAGCCTGGACTTGCTTCCCCTGAAACCACAATGTGCAGCCCTACAGACACTTCAATAAGGCTATAGCCTGCATCTCTGTCCCAGCTGCCAGAACATCCCCATGCTGCACACTCCTGAGAAATGCCTCAGCCGAAAGGGCAGCAGGCCTGGAAGGTCACCCAGCTTCAACGTAACGGCTTCTGCAGCCCTCCACTTCCTCCCCACCAATCCCAGCAACTGCAGGAGCGAGCTGTGCGAGGGGCAGTTTGCTGGCAGAGGGAGCAGACCTGCTGGTAGCAGCAACCTTGTCGAAAATCCTGTCCCTCTGGAGCCAGGTCTGGATCTCGTGCGCCAGCTCCGGGTCCTGCTGAGCTGCCTTGGGGCTCTGCCAGCAGTGGAATGAAGTCACCCAGGAGCTCAGGACCATCACAAACCTCGTGCCTTCTACCGTAATCGCCTGGTGCATTTCTCCAGTAAAAACATGCACCAGTGGATGCATATATATGTTTAAAACATTCCCCCAGAACACTTCATTGATGTGTTTATCCTCCTGGGAGAGGATAAGGGAAGAAACATAGTGGATTTTAGTCACGCTACTAAAAGCATTACTGAGTGGTGCACTGATACAGTGGAGCTGGGTGTGTGATGAGAGCCCACACAGAATAAAAGTTACGGAGCTGTTTTTAGTGGGAGTGTGGTGCAACGTCTTGGTTTTCTGTCTGGTAGGTAGCCTGCAATATTACTGCTTGTTATAAAATTATACCGTGACTTGCACACATATACGGCATGAGTATACCACAAAACCTACAGGACGTTAAAAGTCTTTGGGTGAATAGCAATGCAGGAATTCTAAAGTTCACATTTTCTAAATTTTTATGTTAAACTATATAATCCTATACAATATTAACTTGTTTCAAAATCTGTACAGACTGCCATCACTTGTTCAGGAAACTGGAGAAAGTGGGCGTTTTTGTACAAGCTAGAGAATGAACACTGCAGCAGCAAACAGAACTGCAACCAAACTAGAGCTATCAGTGATGCTCCTGCCCAGAGGGGTAAGAGCAAAGCCAGACTGATGATTTCAGGTCCTTTAGAGACATCAGTGCTTTCCAAGAGGAAAGAAAACAAAATAAATAAGAACATTTAGCATTTGATTTGTGTTCCATTAGAAAGAAAAAAGAGCTGAGCAGGCTAATACAGCATTAATTAGCATCTCATTAAGAGGTAGCAAGGCTGAAAATACAAACATACAGGCAACGTGTGAAGCAAAGCTCGTGTTTTTCTGGTTCCATGATTAGATTTGCTCGCTTTTGTTTTCTCATCCACTAGACTGGAGACAGCCATGTAGGCTTTTGTCTACAGGTCTGTGCATTATTATTGTTCAAAGTACTCCAAAATCAGCAAGCTGTATTTTTGTTTTTAATTAGTTGGCAAGGTGACAAATCATGCAAGTGTCTGTAAAACAGCCTATGGGAAAATCCCACATGAAGCGAACAGCAATTATTCTCCCTTGGGAGAGACAGTGAGACACCATTATTTTTGGCACAGGAGGAAAGCAGTACTTGAAAGTAGTCTGGTCTTTGATTTGTTATCAAAGCTGAAACTATAAGGAAGCCCAGAAAAGGTCTTTTATGCTGGAAATATAAAACTAAAATCGCAGATGAGTGCAGATCCCACTTGATGAGGCAAAAAGCAAGAACTGATTTAGGAGAAAGTGCTGAAAGAAGACGGAGATGAGCACCCTCTCAGCACGGGAGCTACACACCTTCTCGTGACTGCAAGAGGTAGGAGAGGTGCAGGGCAGGACACAGACAAGTGCCCAGCCTGACTGATTGCTACTAGTGCGAGATGGGATGATTACAGCCCCCTATACACCAGTCCCTAGGAAGGCATTAAACTGGAACCGCATACGTATATTGTGAGCACAGACACTGTGAGGTTTGAGGAGCACTACACAGAAGGAGAACTACCTCATCATATTCACTAGCTCGGGGAGTGGGAGAACAGGAGCATCCCAGGAACCATCAGAGTCTGACTGAGAAGCGAAAAAGTGCAGAAGCAAATGGACAACAGTCTCTGAGCCTGACAAACTATCCAGCTTATTTCATTTAACTGCCACACAGATGTCAAGGGACTTTTGGGTTGTCCCACAGGGCCTGGAAATAGGCTCCCAAACCATTTCTAGTGGCAGTAAGTAAGTATATATTGAGGTATACAGGTCCCCTTGTCAGCCCTGGCTCTGGCCTCTATGCCCTTTAGATGTTCTGTTCAAATTTGTAAGGAAAAAAAGTTCATCCTGCATTTCTCTTTTAGTTCTCACAACTGTTCTTTCTTGGTTTGTCTCCTAACTTTCTAACTTGCCATTTCCTTCAGTGACTCCTCTTCTTTCTCCTCTCTGTTATGTCCACAGTTTTTTTCCAGTGTTCTTTTAATGTTGCTACACTTCCCAGAGTATGTTATGCATTTCCAGGATCTCCGCTAGTAGATGAGTACTGATCTAAATGAATTTTCCCATTTTGTACATTCCATGCTGTTCTAATATCTCCCCTGGATTTCTGGTGTTTCGTCAGTTAGAGATTGCTGCATACACTACTGGTGCCAATAGATCCTTCACGTTCTTACAACCGTCCTGTATTTACAATTAAACTTTCCACTGCACGTGTATCCAGGCTGCCAACGCAAAACCTTCATGTTCTATAAACTGTACTTCACCGGCATGTCAGTGGCTTAAAATTCCTCTCTGCAGCCAACTATAGCCTGGCTTGATTACTGCCCACGCTTTTGTCCAAAGACAAAATTCAGTGATACTGATTCTTTTAGATGTCCTTGCTATCCTCTTGCTCAGTACTGAACCAGGCATCGGATTCTTGTTCCTTCTTCTAGTCCTTGTGTAGCTCTGAACCTGCCTGCCTTTTGCTTGTTTTCCATCACAGAGCAGGGCTAGGTTATGTTTCCATGTCTCTGCACAGAACTGTGTGTGCTCTAAAGTACGCATGAGCATCGAGTGAGCTGTCTGGTGAGCATCAAAGTGACCAGTGATGCGCCATTCAATTGATCTGCACTTGTGTAGCAAGTCTGACATTTCCAGAATGCCCCAGATTTACTGTGCATGCACACACTACTTGCATGCTGCAGACAGAAGGGCTGAAGCTTTCCGGAAAGATCAAGTTGACAGCATACGTGCAATAACATAGATCCGCCCTTGTGTAGGACTCCCTACACAAAGGGTGTTTGGGATTTCCTAATGTCTGGAAGCCTAGAAAAAAAGATTAAAATCATGACATTTTCCCTGGACAAAATTATAGGTAGAAAAATGACATGCCCCTATGCCAGATGTCTGTCTTTCTCTCTCATTGTCACACTTTCTTCTGTGCCAGGTGTCATGTCTGCATAAGTAAGTAAGTAAGAACCTTAGATACTCCTCTTAGAGTATCTTAGATAACTTCTTTCTTACTGATTACAGATGTCTCTGCTTCACCACTTCCGGCAGTGTTTTTTGGGACATTCTAATTTGATCATGGTCTGTCATGATTATGAGCATTTTGAGCTCACATTTGAAAACTGTTGGACATTGCTCTTAAAGTCATTAGCAAGCTTATTCAGAATACAAATCTTTATTGCAATTATTCTGCTTCTATATTCCTAAATGGTGGATCATTATATATGCCACACGTCCTCTCGGCTGAGTGCTAGTTCCTGGGCAGCAGAGGCAAGCTTGCTAACAGGCTTCCCCCCTGGCATGATGCCCAGTGTTAAGTGATCTCACCTGAAGTTCTATTTCAGTTTCTTTCTTGACATCTTGCAGCTGTTTCTGGAGTGACTTTATCTCCTCCTTTCCTTCCTCCTCCCTGAAGAAAAATGGGCAAATACAATCACTTGAATATATCAAAAAAGACGAGAGCTGTTTACCTAGAAGGAGAGCTTCCTGTCTCCTGATACATTGTGGCACCTAAATGAGCACTGACCCTCTTATCCTGCTCACTCAACGAGTTTGTAACAGCTGAACTAAAAGAAGGGCACACAGAAGTTTGGCCTGCTTCTTCAGAACAGAAGCAGAAGAGCCTCTTCTTGTGGCTGAGTAGCAAAAAATGCATTTGTCTCTTCACTTTGAGCCTCAGGGAGGTGGCACGTCTGCAAATCAGGAACAGAGGCTCCTCACCAAAGCTAGTGACTTGGTAAATTAATCCCAAAAAAAGAGGTGCACAGACTGAACAAGAAGGGTGGGAATGAAAGGGAGAATGAGCCAAAAACTAGGGAATGCTCTTGTTGAAGTGGACTTGTTGGCTCTGGAGCGGACTTGAGGATGATGCGATTTCTATAGCGGAGAGGGAAGATTCCTATCATTGAGTCACAGTTTCTGCATTTCAGGCAAAGTCTCCCTGATTCTGTGCAGAAGCATGCCTCATCAGCAGACAGTGCCAAATTGTGTAAGTTTCATTATATATACGGAGAATGTTTTTTTCATATCAGACTTAAAATCTTTCAAAAAACACTGCCTCAGGCTCTGAGATCCATGAAGGGATATGAAGGCCAAAAGCTAGAGAGGTGTTTACCTGTCTGAAACAAAATGGATGCAGTAATGTGGGTCATATTATCTTATTTCACTTGCAGCACTTTTCTAAGTTTTTATGCTTATGATTTGATTTAAAGCCAGCAAATACTACAGTTGGTACCTGCGGCTTCGTACCCTATCCCAACCTTACAATCAAACATGCATTTAATTTTCAGAGTCCTTAGCTGGGTGACTGTGATGAACAAAAGTTCCCGATAAGGAGTCCCAGTCTTACCATAGACCGCTTTCAGACTAGTATCTTGACACAAAACTAGACAAGTATATGTTATATTGAAAGACAGATCAAGTTCATTCCATGAAAAGAATGTATAGTAGAACAGACAACATAATGGCTAGATATGATTGACAGAATGGAATAAAAAGGATTATGTCCTTTCTGATTATAATTTGTCTGCTCCTTTCCACCTTCCAGTATTGGATAGTTACTCCACAAGCAATTGCTGCTTTCATTTTGCTTTCTGTCCCTTCCATGGATAAACAATAAATCACTTGGGTTTAGACAGTGGAATAGTTGGGGTTTGTGCTTGAAATTGCACATTTCACTGGAAGGTGGGGAGTTGCACTGGAGGCAGATCCCTGAGCCACCACTGGAGCTCTTTGACTAGGTTGGACTCATGACAAATCATGACTTACAGCAGCTTTGCCGTCTACCCTAAATGATGGGCCTGAGCTCCTACACAGAACAAAGTAGCTTTAAAATGGTTAAACACTTCTCTGATGACTGCTATTCTCTCTGATAGGCTTGGGATTGAACCAGAGCTTCCCACGCTAAAAAAACTCCAAACCTCTAGTGCAGAGAAGTTGGAGCTAAGGAATCACCAGTCTGAGTTGAGATGATAACAAATCCGTACCCTGTAAGATTTGGGACAGAAGAGGATCTATAGTGCAGTGCCTGGTGGATTAGCCTTAAATAAGCCAACTGCCTCTCTCACCATCTGTGCTAGCCCCTCGCTGCTACTGGGAAAAGGGAGCATATTAGCATAGGGGTCAGAGCAGATCCTCCTGGGCATCACATAACCTAAAGACCATATGTTGCTGGCCTTGGTTTGAACAGACTCTATGCTGCTCTGGCTTTCACTGGGGACAAGAGTTAAAGATCAGAGAGCTCCCACATCACATTATGTTTTAATTAATATGGGGCAGCATTTGCATTAATGCAGGCACTGTTGTCCACTGTGGTCAAGCCTCAGGCAATTCCTAGCTCAGATCAGTATCAGAACCATCAGTTATTTCTTTCTGAAGAGGAAAGAAGTGCAGTATGTAAAGCAGACATAATAACTCAATTTGAAAAAGCAGAATCCTTTCTGTATTGTTGGTTTTTTTTTTCCTTTTAAGC